TTGAAGAGGTGATTGGATTGTAGGAGCTGTAGTGAATAGATTAATAATGGTGGCCAGGGGCGTGGTTCTGAGAGCTTTAAAAGGGGAGTGCATGAGAGGTTAGTCTCTCTCTGCTCTGTCATTTTCTGCCATGATACCCGTGGGTCACTGTTGCCACCACCAAGACCCTCACCAGATGTGTTCCCTGGACTTCGGACTTCCCAGCCTCCAAAAGTGTAAGCAATAAATTTTGTTTTCTTTATAAATCACTCAATTTCAGGTATTATGTTGTAAGCAACAGAAACAGACTAATACAATGTCCTGTTATGAGATCTCGCCTAGATGCAAGCTGATATTTCCAGCATTCACTAGACACCTCAGGAGTTCTGAAGAAAATGGACAAATGCACATGCTTTTTTATTTTCTCTACTGCTCAACTTGCGCTACAAAATACCTGCCCTACTGTGTTTTACATATCAATGTTGCTATAGTTAAATCTACACAGGTATACTCTGCTAATGGCAGAGACGGAAGTTGGGAAGAGGAATTCAGAGGTCTGAAGGCCTGGAACAAACATATTCCCCCTACTTTCCATGAGTTTTACACTAAGCATTTTACCATCATCATCTCATTTAACCCTAGCAACTCTATGCAACAAGTACTGCTATCCCCATTTTATAGGTGAGAAAATTAAGGCTCAGAGAGGAGAGGTAATTTGAACAAGGTCATAGAACTGGGAGATAACAAACCATGGTTCCTAATACTCCTCCAAAGTCTGCATTATTTTCACTACCTACTCTGCTTTCTTAGTGGGCAGGCGAGACATCATAATTCTTAAGAATGGCTAAAACAAAGATAAAGAGGGGGCTTTTGTGTGGGTCTCAGAGAGTGGGTCTCATCCTTTCAGGACATGCCAGGGATGTCATGAGGAACACAGAATCACACTGGCGAGTGGCTCTTTCTGGTTAATGACCTAGAGGCAGACTCATGTAGAACATCAAAGAGGGAGCAGTGGCCAAAGAAACTCAGACTTGCTGCCCCCTCTCTTGCTTCTGTACCAGTCCTTCTCCCTGCCCGTGGTCTTACACCATCTTCCTCTCCCCATGCTGGCTCTCTAAGGCCAGAGAAATCCAGTGGGCTAGAATCTGGTCTTTCACCAGCCCCACAATATCACCTAAGGCCTTGTTCGTCCCCTCACTGCCCTCTGCCAGTCCCTACCAGCGTGAAGCTCTTGGGCGAGGCTGCCCAGCGCTTGACCGTGGTGAGGGGCCACTCCTGCAGCACTTCCTTGGTCTTCTCATCCACACGCATCACCGAGTCTTTGGTGATCCCCAGAAGGCGAGGGACCAGTTTGTTCTTGCCTTTCATCTTTTCCTGAAACAGGAGATACCAAGAGTCAGCGCTCTTCCTCTGGATACGTCTGATTTTGCCAAGAATTGGTGATTTTGCAATATTTTACCTGCAGCTAACCTATATACACTGTGTTTCACAACAGGCAGGACTCTTAAAAAAAAAAAAAAACCAAGGTTTTCAGGCCAGGTGAATAACTCTTTAAATTAAAGAGATGGGAGCTAAAACAGACATCAGAAGACTGCAAAGATCCACAAAACCATGCTCCCTGGAAAGAGATGCTGTTCAGGAGGGCAGGTTGCTCCAAAAACAGAGACTGTGTCAGCAAGAAAGGACAGAACTGAAAAGATATCCAGAGAAAAAGAAGCTAAGGTGAACTGCAAATATTATCACTCCCAGTAGCCAACTCAGTGAGTAACAAAAGAGGGTTAATTTGGAAATTATATAATCTAAAAATTAACTAAAACTCTGCCAAAGTAGAGTCTTCTCACTACAAGAACACACAGCCCCCTGAACTTCCAAAAAAATCTCTGAAATATATTTCCATTTGGATTCTTTGTTCCTGGTATTTTTGTATACCTAATGATTCTTAAAACATCTTTTATGATTAGTTTTAGTAATTTTTTTAAGACACAGTAATCATGTCTGTTAAAATAACAGATCCCTACTCACACTCATACCAAAACAAATTCAAGATTGTGGAAGGGGCCGGCCCCGTGGCGCTCTCCAGAGAGTGCGGCGCTCCCACCGCGGGTTCGGATCCTATATAGGAATGGCCGGTGCGCTCACTGGCTGAGCGCGGTGCGGGTTACACCACACCAAGGGTTGCGATCCCCTTACCAGTCACGAAAAAGACAAAAAAAAAAAAGATTGTGGAAGAACGTACAGGTGGATATTTTTATATAATTCCTGGATAAGAAGTAACTTTCTAACAAAAACACCAAAATAAGAAGCCATAAAGAAAAAGATTAAAAGCTTTAACTCAAAATATACGTACTTTGATATACTTTTCAGAGAAAGAGGGAAGAAAAAAGAGAGAAGCAGAAGAAAAAAAGAAACTTTGCCATAAAAATAATTAAAAAGCAATGAATGCCAGAAAAATTTTTATAATGAATAGTAAAATACTTTAGTAATAGTAACAGTAAAGGATTTTATGTACTATGTGAAGCATTTTCGTAAATCAACAAAAATAACTGAAGAATGTGAGTGGAAAATGTCTTTAAAATAACAAAATTAATAATATGCAAATAAGTGTCACTTATGAATATAGAAGGGGACCGCTATTGATGGAGGTTTAAAATGGCAAAGTCTTTACAGAAGAAAATGTGTCATTATCTATACAAAGCCTTAAAAATGTTCCTAACTTCTAACACAGCTTGCTTTAAGGAACTTACTTTTCAAAAGTTATGTGTGTGTAAAGATTATGCCACAAGAAGCTGAACCAAAGTATATCATAGTGAAAAGCTAGAAACAAACCAACTTTTCAACAATATGGGACTTGACACATAAATTGTGGCATATCCAGATAACAGACTATTCTGCAACTATTAAAAATCATATTGTAGGAAAATAACTAGCCTTACGGAAATAAATTATTCATATAACTAAAAAAACAATATAAATAACCTGATCCTATATTAAATAAAAATTTAAAAACAAGTATTTGTCATTATATGAAAAAATGGTGACCATTATCCTCTCATGGATTTCTATTATTTTCAGGTGTTTTTCCTTATTTCCAAAATTTATCCTAATACGTATATATTTTTAGTGTTGTAAGGGAAAAAAAAACTTTTCAAATGATATTTGCTGAAACTTAGCAATGCCTAAACCACTATCCTGAGAGGGATACCCATTCACTCACAGAGAATGCACGTATATATATTAGTGAGTGTACACACAGTGCCGCAGGATTCGGGCACTTAAAACAGGGCTGAAGCATACTAGATACTTGACAAGCATCACTTTCAGAGCATCCCTAAAGTTGGTATCATCATTTTTCATTCTGCAAATGAGGAGACAGTTAATTTGCTCAAAAGTCACAATTTGAACACAAATTTGACTAGCTCAAAAATATCTGACTTTAAAAGCAGACTGTCCACCACAGTTCCCTGTCTTCTGGTGGAAGTCAACAGAAAAGAGGCCAAAACCCACAAACCACCCCCACCTCCCAAGGGGGATTTCATAAACCCTCAGCTTTTGATGGTCACAGCACACCTCCAGCTTTCTCACAGGACGACACAGTGGTGTCAGGAAGCTGTGTGGGTGTCTGAGGAGGGGAATGCAGCACTGCGTGAGCCTGAAGTCCTTAAAAAACACTGAGAAGAGTCAGATTCTTTCAAAAGAGGTCAGTTCTGCAAGCGGCAAAATCAATGAAGGACAAACATTGCCAGTTCACCTCATTTGATTTAGGAGCCACATAGAGATTTAGGTTGAGAGGCTTGATGCAGCTAATTTAGTCCCACAGGGGTGGCACAAGCTGAGCTGCTGGGACCCAGGAAGAGAAAAAATATGGTTTGCAGCTGTTCCCTTCATCCTTTCCCATCTGCGCCTCTCCCCAGCGAGGGGCTCTGGGGTATGGGAGTGCTGAATCATGACGGATTGCCCTAACTCTTGTCCAGATCATTCCAGCCTGGGATAGGAAGCCACAGTGGACAGACAAACCACTTACAGTGGACATTCCATCAGCATGCCACGACTGGGGGAAGGGGATATGGAGAACTTGAGATACTGAAACAGGCGAAAGAGACCACCAGCCAGGGATACAATTATTTCAGCACCTAACCACAAAATGCAGAGCAGATGGAGAAAGTTAAGATAGTAAATGGCTCGGACATGTGACAGCAATGTAGGGTCTTTGCTGGTGCAGAGACCTGTCTTAGCTCCTCAGTGGCACAGACGTTAGAGGGGTCCCTCTTCCTTCTTATACATTGAATCTCAGTCTGCCCCACTCCTGTCCAACCTTCAACTACACAGACCAATATCCTTTTATCTCCAGTAGACAAAAGCATGGTAAGGCAGGCCCCGTGCAGACCCCTCTGTCTCATATACTGACACACACACAGACTATAGCTGTGATTTTGGCCAGCTGTCTAGAAGCTTCACTCCCGAGGTTGTCCTGATTAGGTTGTTTTTGAAGATGTCCATAGCTTGCGTAACTCACAGGCAGGAAAACGTAGGCATTCTACCAAGGAGAGGCAGGATATTTCCATTAATAAGCCTAACCCCTCCTGTTTCAAACATCTCTCAGCCATGACTATGGGCTCAGCCTGGATGGCAAGCTGCAATCAAAGCCTGCTCACCTGCTGGCTCTTCTCACAGGTGAGGGACTGGCTGATTCTTACATCACCTGTGCCTCACACATGAGATTCAGAATTGGTGGTGGAATGTGATTGGGCTAAGCTTTTAGCATGCTTTGGCCCTGGGCCCCTCACATTTACACGGTTGAATCCCAAAGGGTTCTCCCTGTGATCCAGCTGAGCTGGGCACCAAAGGGCTGGCCTGGGTGCTGTGTCTTTCACCAGTAAACTCATTTCTTTTAGGGGCACAGCACAAAGGAATGGCTACTCAAGAGCAAAACTGGGTGTTAACCCTGTTTATTAGCCATTTCTCTTTCTAAAAACAATTGGAAATCCATTTTCATTTAACTCATGCTTCTGAGACATTTTGAATGCCCTCTGTGATACTTCCACAGTTAAGGGGAGAAGAGGGTCAGCTCTCCAGGTATCTCACCTCAAGGCTCTGGCTGTGACTGCAGGGAAATTTCAAAGGGTAATTTAGAAGTGAGAAGGGTTACACAGGATTTTCTGGAATGAGCAAGATCCTATGGGAAGTGACTTACCCATTGCTATGGGGTTTTGATTTAGTAGATCACGATGAAATGCAAAAGAAGTCATGAAAGAGGAAGAATGTACACATTTACAGCTCCCACTTATTGAGATCTTACATGAGACAGTTCCCTTTTCTATATTACCTTATCTAAACCTCATAAAAAAACACAATATTATAGTGAGCAAACTGAAGCTTAGAGATGGAAGGTAGAGCAACTTAACCAAGGTCCAACTACTATATGGCAAAGCCAGGACCCAAACCCAGGTCTGTCTCTTCAAAGCATCTCTCTTAGCTACTAAGAATACTGCTGCCTAAGGCTGTTCCCTGTGGACTCATTATATGGCTTACAGACATTCTCAGTACTAGGACGGGCAAGCTATGGCTGAAACTAAATCCAGCATAATGCCTATTTTTTTATGGCCTGAGAGCCAAGAGAAAATTTTCCATTTTTAAATGAAAAAATTTCAAAAGAGGAATAATATTTTGTGACATGTGAAAATTATATGAAATTCAGACTTCAGAGTCCATAAAGCTTCATAGGAACATAAACATCCTATTCACTCACATATTCCCTGCGCTTCTTCCATACTACCAGGGCAAAGCTGAGCAGCACAGCTGGCAACACCTAAGACATTTCCTATCTGGCCTGTTACAACCCCTGCTCTACATCACATATCCTAAAAATCAATCAGAAAGGTAAAAAACTTAGGGTCACGAATGTGGGAGATGTGGGAAGGGTTAAGTGACTGGAATAACATAAAATTTATCAAATATCCTTACATTCCAGAAACTACTCTTGTTTACATACATTAGCTCACATGATCTTCATTAGTACTCTGTATGGAATTACTATTCTCACTTTTCAGATGAAAAAACTAAGATTTAGAGAGGTTAGGTATGTCCCTTAAGGTCACATAATTTCTGCTATTTCTCATATAGGTATTTATTTCCATCCTGGATTCTAGCCCAATTTTCCCAACTCCAACATAGGAGTTCTCTGATAAACAATGAATATTAGGATGAAATGTTCACAGATACAGAAGAAAATAGAATGGAAGCAACTATAAACATATCAAACAGTCCTCTCAGAATATCTATCATTAATCTCAAGGCTGTGTGGTATGTTTAAGTGTTCAATATCAATATTTAAATGTCTAGTAAATTATAATTGAGTTGTTTAATTTAGAGTTTCT